CCGCGCCTGCCCGACGTTCGCGGTTCCGGGGGCCCATAGCCAGAAAAGATCAGGAATGGCAGTCTGTCACGGTTGTGAGCCTCCCCTTGGTTAGCATAGTACACCCCTCATGCACCTCGGTAGGGAGAAAAATCACCCATGCTCCTGGACTTCCCCTTCCGCCGGCACTTGTGCGTCACTTCCGGGAAGAGTGCATCTCGCCAACCAGAATTCAGGAGGGTGTAGCCAGAGCTAAGTTCGCTTGCGGCTGACCTTTGTTTGATTGTCCTGCGTTCCGTTTGCCTCAGAAATGTGTGTTAGAGAAGGCGGGTTGTCACGTTTCTACAAGCCTTTCAGTCAGAAGGGAAACCTTGCCTAAGTCCTCGTAGTTGAGAAATCTCTAAGAGGTGAGTCTGTGGGGACTGACGACCTGGCTTCCTTGGACCGCTAAGGAAGGATCTGGTAGGAGCTAAGAAGGGTCGGCACCACGGACCTTCTGTGGGCAAGGATTAGTTAGCTTCCTTGGGTGCTAATAGTTGCTGATTTATTTAATGCTCTCACAGTTGCAAAAGAGAACCCATTTAAATCTGAAGTCACTAAGGCCAGGGTGCAAACTGAAGAAACCGACCTTTACAAATAATCTATAGACACTTAAAAAGAAAACGTCTCCCCACAGATATTAGACTGTTGATTCCCCGTCCTGTGTTAGACTGACAGTGAATAAGCCACTCAGCCTCTCTTTCTCATCACACCCCCTTCTACTTGAAGAATTCTGTGGATTTTAAAGTAGTGTTGAATGTGTCCCCAGAAAGGGGAGTCACTGAAGAGAGGGGTAATTGTTCCCTGTGATATGTTCTGAGCTTTGTTTATAAGGAGTAAATCCAGATTGGACTTCAAAATAATCATAAAGTTTCTAAATTGGGTGTCTGGGAGTCATCCATAGGAAACCACTTCCAGAGACATTTAGGAAATTTATCATTTGTTCACTGGGATTTGGTGACTGGCTGAAATAGAAAAGGAAATCAGATAACTTTATGGTTAACTACAGATGGTACTGCATAATGGTTAAGAGCATGAGTTTTGGAGTCCAGCAGATTTGGATACTGGAGTCAAGAAAAAGTTTCATATTTTCCAATGTTTTCTTGTGGAATAAAATGAAGTAAGAAAGAAAAGGTTTGGATCAGGATAAAGATTTGGTAATTGAAAAGTGGCATTTAGATTTGGTGTTGAAAGACTCATTAATGACCTTAGGGAGAGCAGTTTCTGTGAGGCAATGAGGGCAGAATCCATGTTTCAGTGACTAGGAGTTAAGTTAAAGGAGGTATCCAGTCTAAATTATTATACTTTCGAGGAGCTTAACTCAGAAGGAAGAAAGGGTCAGGGCAGTGGCTACAGAAGAATGTGGGATAAGAGAGTCTTTTGTTCTGTTTTCAGGTGGAAGCAAGTACTGCACATGCATGTTGGTCCTGTGAGGGACATCAGCCAGTGGAGAGGGAGAGGTTGAAGGAACAGAAAAAGGAGAAGATTACTCACTGGTAGAGTAACTTGGAATAGATAGAAATGGGATCCTGGGCATGTATTAGTTGTGGGGATAGAAGAATGAATCCTTTGTCTGTGACTCCTGACGGGGTAAAAAAAAAAAAAAAAAAAGATTATGGATAATCATAAGCTCAGGTGTGAGGTAGGGCAGAGAGAAAAAGAAGGAATTTACACCTGATGCCTTCTGTTTTCTCTGTAAAGTTGGTGGCAGAGTTGTCAGTTTAGTGTAAGGTGGTTAGATCGGATGAAACATTTGAGGAGTTTGAGAATTGCTTCTGCAGGGATTAGAAGAAGGGGTCACTTATGCCTGCTGGATTATTGGATCCTCACCCCTAAAATGAGATTAAGTACTGCTTTGTGAGGTATCTCAGGGTTGATTGAGGGGCAAATAGAAAAAAAAAAGTTGAAGGACTTTGAAAAATACATAGCACTATAGAAACAAATTTATTTAATGACAAGTTCCTAAAATTTAGATGTTATGTCAAAAATACTGCTTGTTTTGCAAAGACCAGATCAAAAAAGTAATTCAAGAAGAAACAGAATGGAGCAAAATTTGTGATTTGGATGCCTTATGATTTACGGCTGGTGGGGGAGTGTTTAAATCTCAATTTATTCTTATATAAAATGGGGATAATAATACCTCATGGGTTGTTGTGAGGATTTAAACAAAATAACTAAGATACCACAGTGCCTGGCTCATGGTAAGTGCATAATAAACAGTAACAAATGTTTTTATTATTCTGAGTTCCCTTTTGGGGGAGTAGGTGGGAGCGTGAAAAAAGTTCCCTGGGAGACAGGATACTTGCTTCTGGCCCTGCTCTAATATTGATGAAGCATTACTAATGTGGATCTTATCCCAGTGTTTGTTGCCTTCTGTCCCAGACCAAAACCAGTCCAGAAAGGCTGGATTTGACATGGCATGCTATTGTTGGTAGTAGTGTTTTAGGCAAGGAACAAAAAATTTTTTAAATGTGTGAAGATTATGATTGCTTAGTTGCTTTTTAATTTCCGTCGGTTAACTTTGTAGCCAGTGGGTCAGTAATTTTACTCACAGCTAGTTAAAGGTCAGTCTGGAGGATGGTTTGAATGGGGCCCAAATTAAGGTCAGGATCCTGGAGTAAAACTGAAAATCTGGCCCAGCAGAGTGGCTCACTCCTGTAATCCCAGCTCAGGCTGGTGGATCACTTGAGCCCAGGAGTTTGAGACCAGCCTGGGCAACATGGTGAGACCTCATCTCTACAAAAAATTTTTTATATAAAATTAGCCGGGCATTGTGTACCTGCCTGTGGTCCCTGCTACAGAGGAGGCGGAAGTGGGAGGATCGCATGAGTCTGGAAGCTTGAGACTGCAGCAAGCTGTGATCATGACATTGCACTGCAGCCTGGGCAACAAAGTAAGATCCTGTCTCAAAAAAAAAAGTATGTTTTTCTATTTTAATTAGGTCATTTATATTTTTCAGTGGAGATATTAAGTGCCATTGATTAAATAGTCCATCTTTTTCATTTTTTACTATTTATTAAATACTTTCTATGGCATTACTTTGAAATGCCATGTTTATCTCATAGTAAGTAGGCCTTTCTGTGGATTTCTATGGCTATGTTTAGTCCTGTACGGACTACTTTCTTTATTGTACATTTTAATATATTGGTAACTTATTTAACCCCACTCAGTATCAATTTATTGATTTTCAATACAGTAATATTTTGCAAAGTTGTTTCAAGGATTAAGATAATATTATTAAAAGTGCTTGTCACATACCTGGTAGGTTCTGAATACATGGAAACTGTTACTCTTAAATGTCATCATCATTAGTATGCGACAACTCAGAGAGTCAAGGTGGCTACTTTGAAAATCACTGAATTTCGTTTGGAATTTTATCTTCACTTATAAACCACTTTTGGGGGTGAAGGGAAATTATGATTGATTTATCACCTACAGTGTGCTAGGCACTGTGCTAGGTGCTAGAGTGGTAGAATAATTCATAGGACCTGTCCTCAAAGAACTTACAGTCTAGAGAGAGAGAAAGTATATCAGTGATTGAGAGATCAGTGTGATTAAAAGCTGAGTTAAAGGCAGTGACTGGCTCATATAGGAGCATAGATGAGGGGAATTTAAATTACTTATATTAATCATCACTGCCACTTTGCATTTTTAATCCCATTGTTGTAAATAAAGAAACTGAAGCCATGAAGGTAAGTGAGTAAGGCCACATAGCTTCTGACCTATAGAGCTGGCAAAAGGACAAACCTAGGTCCATCTGATGCCAGCACCTCTGTTCTTCCTTTATGTATTTCGAACAATTCAAAATTTAAAATTTTACTTTTGGCCGGGCATGTTGGCTCATGCAGGTAATCCTAGCACTTTGGGAGGCCGAGGCGGGGGATTCACTTGAGGTCAGGAGTTCGAGACCAGCCTGTCTCTACTAAAAATACAAAAATTAGTTAGGTGCGGTGGTGTGCACCTGTAATCCCAGCTACTTGGGAGGCTGAGGCAGGAGAATCGCTTGAACCCAGGAGGCACAGGCTGCAGTGAGCTGAGACCATACCAGTGTACTCCAGCCTGGGTGACAGAGGGAGACTCTGTCTAAAAAAAAAAAAAAATATATATATATATCTCTCTCTCTCTCTCCAAAGTAGGCCTTATAAAATTTCAAATTTTGAAGTCATTGTGTAGAAGGTGCCAATAGTTAAGGAATACACTCTACTAAATGTCAGGTTTTAGTACACCTCTTACAGGCTTGAGGTCTTTTCCTGTTTCTAGTTTATGTTGTTTACTAATTTTTTTCCCACCTTAGACACACTTAAGTTAGTTTTAGAGGGGCTTTTGCCTTTTAAAGAGAAAATTAGCAAAATCCTGTTCCTTTCCTTTTATGTTAACATCTGAAAATATTAACATTTGTTAAAATAGGTGAAGCTGAACCCAGATCTACACATACATCTAATCTTATCAAAATGTGTGAAAGTAAAGCAATCTGAAGGAAATTCAGTACCATGCAGTGTACTGACTGAAATACATCACATTGCTCATACCAAGAATAAGAGTGGAGAACGACCATTTTTTTCCTGCTAAAATGGTGGAGGCAGAAGAGCAACAGCCATGGAAGACGGACTTCTATTCTGAATTGCCAAAAGTGGTGAGAATTCAACTACAGAAATCTTGAGTGGTTGCTAATTGTAATGACTTTTATATTGCTTCTTTTCATCAAAGTAAATTTTGGCTGGGTACAGTGGCTCATGCCTGAAATTCCAGCACTTTGGGAGGCCAAGGCAGGTGGATCACCCGAGATCAGGAGTTTGAGACCAGCCTGGCCAACGTGGCAAAACCCCATCTCTACTAAAAATACAGAAATTCGCTGGGCTTGGTGGCATGCCTGAAGTCCCAGCTACTCAGGAGGCTGAGGCAGGAGAAACGCTTGAACCTGAGAGGCGGAGGTTGCAGTGAGCTGAGATCACACCAATGTACTCCAGCCTGGGTGACAGAGTGAGACTCCATCTCAAAAATAGAAAAAGTAAATTTTGTAGCAAAATTTGTAAACTTTGTTATGTAGCTAAATCTGGTAAGCAATTTGCCTAGTGCAAACTACAAAGATCAAGTATCTGGTATGATGCTATGAATCTATTGGATATTTGGTAAGTTTTACTGGTTGTATCTCTTGTCTTAGGAACTTCATGCCCACTTGAATGGATCCATTAGTTCTCATACCATGAAGAAATTAATAGCCCAGAAGCCAGATCTTAAAATCCACGATCAGATGACTGTGATTGACAAAGGAAAGAAAAGAACTTTAGAAGAGTAAGTGTGGGGAGGTTGTGGACATACTCCTTTTTTTCTCTATCAGTATTTTGAGATTGTAAGTAGTATGTAAGAATTCAGATTTTAGTAGTTAACAGAAATGGGGTTGGCATCTGGCATGGAGCAAATATCTTAACATACAACATTTTTTTCCAGCTGTTAGACTGTTGACAGTATTTCTAGTGATTTCTGTTTGTGAAGTTATAATGTATTGGAATATGCTTGCCTTTTTTTTTTTTTTGGAGACAGGATCTCACTTTGTTGCCTAGACTGGAGTGCAGTGGCGTAACTGCAGATCACTGCAGCCTCGACCTCTGGGGCTCAAGCAGTCCTCCCACCTTGGCGTCCCAAGTAACTGGGACCACAGGTGCACGCCACCATGACTGGCTAATGTTTTTTGAATTTTTTTAGAGATGGGGGTCTCCCTATGTTGCCCAGGCTGGTCTCAGTCCACTTGCCTTGGCCTCCTAAAGTTCTGGGATTACAGGCATGAGCCATCATACCCAGCCTGGGGTAGTCTTTAGATTTGAAAATATAGGCATATTGAATTTCCCCGTGTCAGGGGTGGGTTGGAGAAGGGGTACTATTATTTCCCACTTAAAAATATCAGTAATGTTTTATTTTCAGTCATTTGATATCTTTCCAGATCAATATAATTTTTGAAAAATCTATTCTGTTGTTTGTAAATATAAATATATATTTACTATTAGCCTAAAATTTAATTCATTCAGTTAGTGAGTTTCTTTGATGATTAGAATATGTTAAAACTTTTCATTCACGTTGCAGATGTTTCCAGATGTTTCAAACTATTCATCAACTTACTAGTAGCCCTGAAGATATTCTAATGGTAAGACATGAACGAATTTTTAGAATGGTTTAAAAATTATGAAGTAATTTCCTTCCATGACTGCACATGACCTTTCATTTGTGCTCTCATTAAGAGTGATGAAAAATGTCTTCTCTATTAAGGCAACTCTTTTCAAAACCGATGTAAGACATTTGCCTAAGAGCTAGCACAGAAAGACTGTGTTTCTTGTAAAAGATATGAGGAAAGAACCAGGAAGAGCATCTTCTATAGGCTAGAGGACAATATGGAAGAGAAAATTTGGTCCTGTTTTTCATATATAACATACATATATGAAATACTAGACCACAGGTGGAGATATCCTTAATAAAGCATTGTCTGTGTTACATAGGAGACTTACTTCATGGGTGGACATTACAGAGAAGGAAGAAGTTCATGAAGAGCTTAGAGATTAAGTGATTAATCCCTAGGGAAATTGTGCCTTCCCTCTGAGGGCACAAAGGATACCACTGTGTTCTCTTATCTGAAGCTCCATTATACTAGAGTCTGACATGGAAGATTGTCTTCTGTATCGTTGATCTGATTAGGATGGCATTTTAAAATGTTCTCTTTCTAAATGAAGAGAAGCAAAATTGTGTCAGTGATCCTAACCAGTAGAAAAAAAATGCAAAGAAAGTATAACCTGTGTTTCTGGACTGGTAACTTTTGACTGATCAAGCAAAAATTTTCCTCATTGGTAAAGACTGATCTTCATGATAAGTGGTAAGTAAATTAATCACCTTTTAGTTTCATTCAACAAAAGTTGACTGAGTGTCCACAGTGTTCCAGGCACTGTGGTAAAGTCTTAGAGAGATTGACACAGTTTCTGCCCCTGAGGAATTTATAATTATGTTGGAGAAACAGACAAATAAGCAGATATTGCAACATAGTGTAGTAAGCTCTGTGTTAGAGACACACGTAAGGATTTATAGGGAACCAAAAGGGCATTCTCTAAGCAGCGTCTCAAAAGATACCATTGAACATTGCTAAGAACGTCCACCACAGGGGCTCTGATCTCACTTTGTTGATGAGTGTTGTAGAGCAAAATGATGAAATTTAAATTTTGACAGTTTAATACTCTATGGGTATAATAATGGCATGCTCGTTGCTACATTCATTTCACAATGAAAGTTGAAAATCTTTATTAAATTAGGTGAGAAATAAGATTCTGTGCATTTGACCTGGTGCTATTAGGTGGTTCAGAGGGTGACAGTGGGGTGCCCTATATGATAAATGAAACGTCAATGAGAGTAAACTAAGAGATTGATTGTAAATGTAGAACTGAGTGTGAGGGAGATCACTGAAAACTCCAGTCAAGGTGACCTGGGTATAATCTCAAAGAGAGGATTGGAGTATGGCTGAAAAATGATACTCGTTATTACATGTACCAGACATTATTATTAGCACTACTTTCAGAAGTAGGTATTTTTATTGTTCCCTTTTTGTAGATGAAAAAATAGACTTAAAGAGGTTAAGTGTAACTTGCTTAAGATCACACACACAGAGTAAGTGGCGCACTATCTGGTCGCAGAGCTCGTGCTCTTTCCCATTTAAGCTTATACAGTCTTAGAGAGGTTTGAGTAAGTAGGAACTTAACTAATTGTGATGTACTTTGCCCGGAAAAAGAATTTGAATAGATACTGTCAGTCCAGCGCATAGGAGAGGAAAGCCCAAAGAGGTGTCCTCAGTACCTACTGCGCTACCTGCCACACATCACAGAAAGGGCTAAATCTGGCAAACGCAGATATGGACCCCAGGGAAATGTTCTTGGATGTGGGTTAGGGATGGTTCTGTAGGCTTCACTGTGGCCTAGATAAATCTTCCTCCCTTTGCTCTTGCTCTATACTTGTTAGTTTTTCATTGTTCATTTGGTTTTACAGGTACCTAGCCACTCAGAAAGAGGGAGCCTTGGATAGTAGTCACTTTAAAGGACTACTATTTCAAACCCTCACTTCTACCCTATTCCTCATTGTCAAACAGGTTTCTGCATTAGTCTCATGTGAGCCGGGGTAGGTGAGTGTGGGTCTGTTCTATTCTGGGGCAATGACAAGATCCAGGTTCCTCAACCTATTAATACAAAGGTGAGGCCACAATTTCGTAGTGTCAGTGACAGCAAGAGGGAGTTCCTGGAGTAGCAGTGCCATGGGGCCAATGCCATGAATGATGGCATGGAGGTTGCAGTATCATGCTCTTTGGTGGAATAGCAGTAGTGTCTTGCTTGGTCCAGGAGTTCTATGGATTTAGAATGCTGATGTATTATCTTTGGCTGTATTCTCAGAATCTGGGTCTTTAGACCTCTTGATGAAACTGAGATACCCATTCCGCTTACATTATAATAAGTTCGTTTTTGTCTTTAGTGGAAAAAGAAAAAAGAAGAGGCCTACAACTTGGATTGCTATCAATTCACCAAGGTAGTGCCATACTGTTAGGCACTGTCTGTACAAACAGCCAGCCCCTCTTGCTTTGCCAGGATGCTGCACTCACATGCCTGTGTGCGTGTAGTCAAAGCAGATTAAGATTAGGATACCAACTGTGAGGACTAATTAGGGCAGTTTGTCACAGCTTCACCAACCTAGCCTTTTTTTCTTGTAGATTTTTTAGGATTGAAGGCGGAAAGGAAAAACATGACTTTAGGAACTTTTGGATTATTGAGATTTGCACTAAATTGGATACAGTTTTACTCATATTTATCACCTACTTTCTTTGCCCTAAGTAATTCTTGAGAAAATTTAACACTTCCAGAATTTATTGAAAAATGTAACTTATTCCTAAATAACTTGAATAAAAACCTTAAGCCATGACTTCAAATAGCACATCAGTAATACCTAATCATTTTAGCTGTTTATTTCCGTATGTGCATTTCCTAGCAGTCTACACATATAGATGGTTCCAGCTGGTTTTAGTTTCACGCCATTTCTCTATTTTATCATTCTGCTATTGTAAATACTAGGAAATAAATGTTTAAAAGGGGGGAAAGAAACAAAAGGTGTAGCTGATGTGCAGATTGGGATTGAACGTGGGAATGAGGGGTGATGGGAGTGATTGTAAATATTGCAGCCCTGCATAGTCTCCATCAGGGATGTGACAAAGTGGATAATCTCTACCACGTGAGAAACTTCCAACATTTCTTGCAAATCAAATTTAATGAATAAAATAAAGCTGTAGCACTTGGCACATTCATTGGGACCCTTACACAAACATTATCAATATTGTGTACGTTATCTTTATTATCAGGTCACAAAAGATGTCATAAAAGAATTTGCAGATGATGGTGTCAAGTACCTGGAACTAAGGAGCACACCCAGAAGAGAAAATGCTACCGGTAGAATTTATACTTCTCAGCAAATGTACTGTCCTTTTCCTATGTGCTTTGATCACTCACACGTTTGTGAGTGGGAATATGAAGCACTAACTTTTACACTATTGTGTTGTTCTGTATTTCATTGAACCTTTAGTCAACAGTCCAAGTCCTCTCTCTGATGTACGTTAATGATGTTCATTTTGTTTGTTTTAGAGACAGGGTCTTGCTGTCTTGCCCAGGCTGGAGTGCAGTGATGCAAACATAGCTCACTGTAACCACAAACTGCTTGGCCCAACGATCACCTCAGCCCCTATAAGTGCTGGGATTGCAGGTGTGAGCCACTGCACCCATCCTGATGTACATTATTAATGAGTGAGTTGTTCTTAAGTAAAAAGTAGTAAAATTCCAGTCAGGCATTATCTGTTTAAGGAAGGAAACAAAGGCCTGCAAGTTTCTTTTGTTCTTCCTTGTTTAGTTGTTTTCACTCTGAGAAAAGGATACCTGCTCCGTATGTTTGCCTTGGCACAAGCAGAGGCTGATTCTTGCTCCCTGCATCACAGGCACTTGTGAGACAATGCCGTTGAGTGGATGCAGAATCATGTTTTATGGTAGTTACTAAAATTATTCATTCACTTCTCAGGGAATAGTTTTTTTTTTTTTTTTTTTTTTTTTTTTTTGAGACGGAGTCTCGCTCTGTCGCCCAGGCTGGAGTGCAGTGGCCGGATCTCAGCTCACTGCAAGCTCCGCCTCCCGGGTTCACGCCATTCTCCTGCCTCAGCCTCCCGAGTAGCTGGGACTACAGGCGCCTGCCACCTCGCCCGGCTAGTTTTTTTTTTTTTGTATTTTTAGTAGAGACGGGGTTTCACCATGTTAGCCAGGATGGTCTCGATCTCCTGACCTTGTGATCCGCCCGTCTCGGCCTCCCAAAGTGCTGGGATTACAGGCTTGAGCCACCGCGCCCGGCCTCAGGGAATAGTTTCTTAGGCCAGGAGCAAGCTGTGATGTGGTAAAACCTCTTTGGATAGAGATGAGATCTGGCTATGGTCTGGAGGAATTTCCTGAGATCCTCCTTCTGTAATCAGCATCAGGAGACATTGGGGCCCTCTTAGCACCTTGTTTATGACCCAAAGAGATGTAGGTCATCTTGTTTCCTGATATGTGTAGCTTAGTAATCATTTGGGGGTAAAATTTTTGAAACTATTATTGTAAAGTATAAGTGTTTACGTAAGATAAGGAGAAGGCTCTCATCTTGCATTTTTGAACCGTAGAATCGGTTCCACGTTGTACTGGTGAGAGTAGTGAAAGGGAAGGAGAGAAGAGCCAACTCGTAGGGCTCTTTCGATGGAGTTCCAAAAGAAGGATATTAACCTAAATATGCAACAGTAGAGGAATGGTTAAATAAAGGCTAATGGAATATTAGACAACTATTAAAAATACTGGTGAAGACACTTTAATGACATGGGGAAATACTCAGAATCATGTTAAATGACTGAACTGGGTACATATATACCTAGTAGTATCTCCTCTATTTACAGATGTGTATGTGGGCAGAGTGCAATGACTTATGCCTGTAATTCCACCGCTTTGGGAGGCTGAGGCAAGAGAATCACTTGACGCCAGAAGTTCGAGACCAGCCTGGGCAACATCGTGAGACCCTACCTCTGTGGGCTCCAAGGGCTGCAGTGAACCGTGATCATGCCACTGCCCTCCAGCCTGAGCAGCAGAGAGACCTTAAAAAAGGTCTCTTGAAATAAGACATAGAAATAAATGTGTATATGTGTATTTAACAAACAGTAGTTACCTCTCAGTGGTGAGGTTATTTTTATTTATTTATTTATTTATTTTGAGACAGAGTCTTGCTCTGTCACCCAGACTGGAGTGCAGTGGTAGGATCTTGGCTCACTGCAACCTCCGCCTCCCAGGTTCAAGTGATTCTCCTGCATCAGCCTCCCGAGTAGCTGGGATTATAGGCACGTGCCACCACACCTGCTCATTTTCATATTTTTAGTAGAGACAGGATTTCACCATGTTGGCCAGAGTGGTCTCGAACTCCTGACTTCAAGTGATCGGCCTCCCAAGTAAAGACGGGGTTTTGCCATGTTGCCCAAGCTGGTCTCAAACTCCTGGGCTGAAAGTGATACGCCCGCCTTGGCCTCCCAAAGTGCTGGGATTACAGGCATGCTACCACACCCTATTTTTATTTTTATTTATAACTTTATGTATTTTACCAGAGACTTTCCACCAAACATAAGCATTTTATAATCTGGGTAAAAGGGTATTTTATTTTTCCCAATGTAGCCTAAAGAAAAAGAAAAAAAGGTATTTGACAGGAGGTTGCTCTGGAGAGTGCCCTTGCAGATCGCCCCAGAGAGCAGAGTGTTCATACTTGGAAGAACATCCTGGTTCCCTGGATGAGAAACACTAAGCCCAAGCAGGATTGAGGGGAAAGGAATCCAAGTTAGGACTTTTTTTCTGGACCAGGAGAGAAAATGTCCCTTTAAAAAATAAAAAAAGCAGGACGGGTGTGGTGGCTCATGCCTGTAATCCCAGCACTTTGGGAGGCCAAGGCGGGCGTATCACTTTCAGCCCAGGAGTTTGAGACCAGCTTGGGCAACATGGCAAAACCCCGTCTTTACTAAAAATCCAAAAACTAGCTGGACGTGGTGGTACACGTCTGTAGTCTCAGCTACTCAGGAGGCTGAGGTCGCAGGATGGCTTGAGCTTGAGAGACAAAGGTTGCAGTGAGCCAAGATTGTACCACTGCACTCCAGCCTGGGTGACAGCCAGACCCTGTCTCTAAAAAAAAAAAAAAAAAAAGTCTTTATTTTTTTCATTTCATTTCTGTAACACTTCATTTTCCCCCAGTTTTATTAAAATATAATTTACTTTTACTCAAATGTACCCATAAGGGCCATATTTTCACTCATCTTTAACCATGCCCTTGTCATAGCATAAAGTGAAAATGTACTTGTTCATATAGGATTGCTGAAGGTGAAGGATGAAATAGTTGATGATCTCTTTACATGTATTTTCTGTGTGTCCTTTCCAGGAATGACTAAAAAGACTTATGTGGAATCTATACTTGAAGGTATAAAACAATCCAAACAAGAAAACTTAGACATTGATGTTAGGTAAGAAGATTGTACCTTAGTAGTTAACATTTACAAAACCAGAATGTTAATTTTTACTGTTTTGATCGTGGGTGTAATGGATTTTTTAGAATTAATCATTCATTGATTTATACAATAGAAAAATAAAATCAAGAACCCTGTTGTTTAAAGTGAGAACACAATTCTGAATTTATTCATAAGGCAATATAATTCTGAGTATTTTTACATGGGTAAAGTATGGTGTTCCTTTGCCGTTAAGCTAAAATGAACTTTTTACTGTGGCCTACAAGGTCCCACATGATCTGGCTGCCTCTGTTAATTCAGCAGCTCATCTAGACCACTCCTCTTCCCTTACCGTGGGTGTGCTGTCTCTTCCTAAAATAAACAAGAAAACTGTCCCCCTTCAGCACCTTTGTTTAGTATTCCCCAGAACACATTTCTACGAGATTCCTGCCCAACTGGCTGGCTGCTTCTCATTATTCAGATCTCAATTTGGCTGTTACTTCCTCAGAGGGGCCTTCCTTTACGACTCTGTCTAAAGTGCCCCACTAATCCTCTAGTCACCCATCTATTTCCTTTATGGCATTATTTGTAACAAGATAAGGAATTATCTTGTGTTAGTTTGTATGTATGCCCACCCGCTAGAGTGTAAGTGTAGTGAAGCCAAGGACCTTGTTTTATGATTCACCACTTTGTTGAGCCCATACTATGTACCGACTTTATGGTAAGTACTAAAGATGTACTTGTGAATCATGTACATGTAGATTCACAAGTACATCTTTAGTACTTACCATAAAGTCGGTACATAGTATGGGCTCAACAAAGCCCTAAATGAAGAAAGAAAAAAAGCTAGCTGTATAGTTTCAGGTTATAAGACTCTAAAAATTAAGCTTAACTAAACTAATAACCCCAATAAAAAACCAAGCAGAAGAATAGAATGCAGAGAAGAAGACATACAAAGAGCTGGTAAATGTATAGAAATACATAGAAAACTACTAAACTCATTAATCATATATTACAATGCTGTTTCCGTAGGCTAAAAAAAAGTAATAGCAAGGGTTTGTAAAGTTACACACTGCTGGTAAGCATATGTAATTAATAAAACCTCTTTAAATCCTGCACTGGTACACAAGTAAGGGGAGGAAAAAGCCTCTCTAAAGAGCAATGTATGTCAAAATTTATAAAAAAGTTTTTCCCTCTGACCCAGCAATTCTGTGCCAGAAATGCATCCTAGGAAATAGATTGATTTATGCATAAGATTCCTTATTATAATGTTATAACAAAAATTAGAAAATAGCCTAGAATGTCCAGCATTCAGAGGATAATTACATTGTGGTATGTTCACATGATTCATACTATTTTCTAACATTATTTTAATGGCATGGGAAGTTGCTAAGTGAAAAAAAAGATACAGCATTTTATATATTGTTGATCTAAATTTTGTAAATGAATAAATGAACAAATGCTGAAGGAATTTGTGAATAAATAGTAAGCTAATAACTGCTTTAGAAAAATTACAGGGGTTCTCTGGGTATTCAAGAAATATTAACAGGCCAAGCACGGTGACTCATGCCTGTAATCCCAGAACTTTGGGAAGCCAGTGCGGGCAGATCACCTGAGGTCAGGAGTTCAAGACCAGCCTGGGCAACATGGTGAAACCCTATCTCTACTAAAAATACAAAAATTAGCCAGGTGTGGTGGCAGGCACCTGTAATCCCAGCTACTTGGGAGGCTGAGGCAGAATCGCTTGAACCCGGGAGGTGGAGGTTGCAGTGAGCTAAGATCGTGCCATTTCATTCCAGCCTGGGTGAGAAGAATGAAACTCTGTCTCAAAAAAAAATAAAAAAAGAAATATTAGCTGGGTGCGGTGGGTCACGCCTATAATCCCAGCACTTTGGGAGGCCGAGGTGGTGGATCATGAGATCAAAGAGATCAAGACCATCCTGGCCAACATGGTGAAACCCCGTCTCTACTAAAAATACAAAAAAGCCAGGCGTGGTGGCAGACGCCTGTAGTCCCAGCTACTTAGGAGGTTGAGGCAGAGGTTGCAGTGAGCCAGTATCAAGCCACTGCACTCCAGCCTGGGCACAGAGCAAGACTCCGTCTCAAAAAAAAAAAAAAAAAAAAAAAGGATTAACAGAGATTCTCTGGGTATTCAAGTCCTATAGAATTCCAGCTAATATTTGAAGAATGAACTTTTATCAGATATTTGATACATTTTCGAATGAGAATATTTCTAATTTTGTAACCCCTAATGAAATAATGGATCTCAGCCTCATAAGAGCACACCACCACCAGTTTACTCTTACCAAAAAATGGAACCTGATCTGCCTCTAGACTAGATAGGAAATATAAGAAATAGGACAACATGTTAACAACACAGGGATACAATCAACAAAATCCAGACCATGGAAAACTTTGTAGGACAAACAACTTGGTTTCTTCAACAAAGAAGTTACAAGAAAAGCAGGGTGGGAGGTGGGAGGAGAGGAAGGAATGGTTGTAGATTAAGACAGCCTTAAAAGACACATTGACTTACACAAAGTATGGACTTGTTTGGATCCTGAATCAAACAAACTGAAGAAACAAATACAGGAACAAAAAAACCTCAAAAGACAACTGTAGATCTGAACACTGACTAGATGCTTGATGCTATTCAGGAATTCATGTGTCAGTCCATATGGCAAAGTAAAATGTCAGGTTGTCTACATTCAGTCAGGCTATACTTTTCCTAGTGAGATGTATTACAGAGGCTGCCGTCTCTGTCTGTACTCAGAATTGTCTTGTTCATCTGTGTCATATTAGTTTTCAACTCTGTCTTTCTTATGTTAAAGGTATTTGATAACAGTTGACAGAAGAGGTGGCCCTTTAGTAGCCAAGGAGACTGTAAAACTTGCCGAGGAGTTCTTCCTTTCTACTGAGGGTATAGTTCTTGGCCTTGACCTCAGTGGAGACCCAACTGTAAGTTATTTTTCCTACATATATTTTAATTCTAAAAGGTAGAATCAGTTAGTGGGATAAGGACTAGCTTCGGGCATCTTGTGTTGCATTCTGCAGAGTGTCCAGCAGACACTCCATTGTGTGGATGAAGGCCTGTTCTGCCCTGGATGACCAGAATGCCTAGAGCAGCTCTCATCCAAGGTTCTGTGAAACAATTAAGTACACTAAAAAAAAAAAAAAAAAAAAAAACAGTTGCCTGACTATATGACTGTTTTCTCCATTCTTCTAAAGATGGTGCACAGCTAGTACCAGACTATCTGCACTATAATGTAATTCATTACATACAATGGATAGATGTCTTAGGGTGTTGGGGCTTAACTATTTCATGGATAGTTGAGAAATGTTGACCTGAGCTTCTTGAATGTCAGATTCAAGCAGAAATCTTGATATTTGGGGCTGGATAATTTGTTGTGGGGCTGCCCCATGCATTGTAGGATGTTTAGCAGTATCCTTGGCCTCTACCCACTAGATGCCAGTAGCACTCTCCCAGATGTGACAACCAAAAATGTCTCCAGACATTGCCAAATAGCCCCTGGGGGGGCAGAATTGCTCCTGGTTGAAAACAACTGAATAAGAGAGTCCCATGAAACTGATTCTTACGGCTTTGTCCAAACCTAGAGTATTCTGCCCTTCTTTTTATCCACCTGTTTAACAGAAGTGTTTTGAGTAATCATGAGAGTTCCTGAGTCAAGTGAGTGAGTTCCCCTTAGCTCTGGATATCTAGGTGTCCTTCCAGGCATAAAGTTTGGTGACTACTATATCCAGCTTAGCTGACTGACCTCAGTTTACTGTTACTAGACAAGATTCTCAAGGTCAGGGACTGTGCCTTTGCCAGCTTTGTGTTCAGCAAAGTGGCTAGCACACTGTAGGTGCTTTATAAACAAGATGTGCAAATGAATTAATCTACCATAATTTTTTCTGCCATTATATTTATTGGAATGGAGTACTCAGTTCCTCGGTTTTCCCAGAATTCTCACGCATCCTCATTTTAACTTTTATCTTTAAGGTAGGACAAGCAAAAGACTTCATGGAACCTCTTTTAGAAGCTAAGAAAGCAGGTCTGAAGTTGGCATTGCATCTTTCAGAGGTAAATAATATTGTCTTAGGCTAAAAGGGACAGATTGTAATAGAAAATAATAGGGTCATTTGTAAGTGACTAGGAATAAACCTAGATTGGGAAAACATTTTTTAAAAAGGGGAAGTAGAAATATTTTTAAATACATGACTTGCTTTAGTCTCTAGTATTACTGTTTTTATCCTTTTGTGGTTCCTGGGAGTGGCTGTTGACTCAAATGCCAGCTGTGTCATTAAAAGCAGCTTAATGACATCTTGCTAGAGAAAATGCATGCATTTCCAACATCTGTCTTGTCATTGGCAAGCTGACTCTAAGAAAAGCACCAATTTATCTCACCTGTCCTCATAGTAGAAGGGACCTGATTTTTATCACATCCAATGGCAATAAAGGAAGCAGCTCATCATTTTACAAAGCCCAGCAAAGAGGTCCAGTTCCCTCATCAGCCCCAAGCTCACTGGTAGCATGAACGTAGTGACAGATAATTGCTGGGAAGTAGTCACTTTCATAAGCACATCCTTGTGAGGCAAACGCCTTGTGAGGGACTCTGCTGCAATTTTCCCCATTTTATAGATGGATTTACTTTTTACCTCAATACTTCTATCTATTTATTTCTTAAATGCAGAAAATAATACTTAGTCTACTTACCTCACAGAGTTATTGTATTAAAGGGGTAATGTATAAAGTTTAAGTAGCATCATGATTTAAAGATTAAGGAAAAAAATCAGAACCCCTTGCCAGTACTTGTATCTTTCATGTCTATAAGTAGAACATCAGTAATCTAGTGGCAGGACTTAAAATATAGAATCCATGTTTCCATACTCTAATTCGAAAGACCTTTCATCCACAGGACATCCTATGGCTGACCTACCTGATGCGTGATAGAAACCATTGGTCATTATAAGGGAATAGCACATGTGACAGTGACCAGTTATCTCTGGCCTTGTGTGCAACATCACAACTTGTTCTTTACCTTCGTTTCTGTTGCTTTTATCATCCAGTCCATTGGATATAAAACCTTTCATTAAAAATGTTCTAAGAATTTGTGTTTTGGGCAATCCAGGAGATAAAGAGCACAGCCAGACATTTTCATGGTGATTGTGGTATGTACATAGCCAGCCTTGTCAGAATCAAACATGATGAGCACACTATGTGAGGGAAGTAACTGGGCCCTGGAGTCAGACTGAGTTAGGTTTCACCCTTATCTCTGCCGTTCACTAGCTCTGTGACCTTGGACAACTTTTTAAAAAAAAATGCTTTACATTTTTAACTGTCAGAGTTATGTGTACCTGAAAAAAATCCAAGTGTCAAGAAGGAAAGTATTAAAAATTAAAAGCCCAATTTCTATTTGTTTTGCTCCCTAGAGTTAATATGTTAACAGTTTTGTGTTTATATTTTTTGAGAACTTTTTATAATATATATGAACACATGTATATTACAGAACACACATATAGGTATAGAGTTACGAAGTTTTATTTTTCGAAAATTACTTAATTTTTCTCAGCTTTAATTTCTTCATCTTAATACTTTTTAAGATTCTTGTGAGGCCTTAAATAATTTCTGTGAAAAAGCACAAAGTAGGTTCTTAATAAGTATTTATTATTATCATTGAAATGAATCTAGAAGAATATTGAGGAAAGAATGATAAAAGTCAAAGAGAGCTAGGAAGGCAGTAGTAGTTCAGTTTTCCAAAAGGTCTGCATTAAGTACTACTCAGAGGTGCAGAGTACCTAGCTATAGAAAAAAAATTCTCTTTAAGAACCACTGAAAGAGGCCATTGATCCCCTTTCCTCCCCTTTCTTTAGATTCCAAACCAAAAAAAAGAAACACAAATACTCCTGGATCTGCTTCCTGACAGAATCGGGCATGGGACATTTCTCAACTCCGGTGAGAGAGGATCCCTGGATCTGGTGGACTTTGTGAGGCAACATCGGATACCACTGGGTAAGGCTTGGAGTTTCAGGTCTTCCAGATGACTCTCTGTCCCTCCCCCAATCCCCAGGTTTTCTGGGGATTGTAGAGAAGTAGTGTTCTCAAAGTACGAATGTCATCTCGCTATTAAAAGATGCATGGAGTGTGTGCTTTCTGAGCCTTATTTAAGTAACAGAAAGCTTCAGCTTCCATTAGAATATAAGCTCTATAAGAGCAGGGCCCCTGCTTGTCTTATTCATTGCTACATTCTCCAGTGCTTGGAACTCAATAAGAATTTTTTAAAGGAATAAAGGGTCATCTAGAATTTTGAAATGACTTTAACAAAATTGACATGTGTTTTGAAAATATGTAACATTATTTAAAACTTAAACATGGAAAATCCCAAGTATATTTTCACATGTCTGTTGATCATTACACACTTGATTGTCTGTGTTTATGAAGTGCCTACTTTGTTGTCATTGCTGTCAATATAGCAGTACACAAAACAGGCAAGATTTCTTTCCCAAGAAACTCATTCTAGCAGAGGGAAGACGGTAAACAAATATACAAGAAAGTATCAGTGTTCTATGAAGAAAATTAAACAGGCTGATATAGTAGTGATTGTATAACCACTTTCGATTGGATGGTTAGGAAAGGCCTTTCTAAAGAAGGAAGAAGTGGTTGGCTGCAAACCATTTTACAGAATGATCAATTTGCTAAATTTACCAATTTATAAAAATGCTTGTGTGAGTATGTTTTAACTAGAGTTTTCAGCAATTCATAATGGGTGAGATTTGCTTTTTTTTTTTTTTTTTTTAAACAAAGGAAAATTTTAAATATCCACCAAAGTGGAGAGAATGGGAACCACTGGCATAGTGATCTTACTTGGTGTGGTGGCCCGGCTCTGCTCCCAACAGAGTGAGGGGGGGAGTTTGGGTTTGTCATCCCTTAAACTGAGGGAGCCTGTGTTGAGGCTGCCTTACTCAAGTGAGCAGATGCCATCGATCAAGTCAGTCAGGTATTTACTCTGGCTGAGGAAACTGGTAATATTTCCAGGAAGGAATTTGTTAGTAGTAGGAGTCAATTCTCTTTTTTTTTTTTTTTTTTTTGGGAGATGGAGTCTCGCTCTGTTGCCCAGGCTGGAGTGCAGTGGCGCAATCTCGGCTCACTGCAAACTCTGCCTCCTGGGTTGACGCCATTCTCCTGCCTCAGCCTCCCTGGTAGCTGGGACTTACAGGCACCCGCCACCACACCTGGCTCATTTTGTTTTTTTGTGGTTTTTTTTAGTAGAGATGGGGTTTCACTGTGTTAGCCAGGATGGTCTTGATCCCCTGACCTTATGATCCACCCACCTTGGCCTCCCAGATTGCTGGGATTACAGGCGTGAGCCACCGCACCCGGTCAATAGTAGGAGTCATTCTTAAGATGGGCTTAACTTACCTAGAAGCAGAAGGAGGTGAATGGATGATTGTCTGGGTGAAAGTGTTTAGGGGTTCTTAGAAGCCATGGCAAAGTCCCTGCTCATTCTTAGCTCTTCATAATGCTCTCACACGCAGTGCTACAGTTTTCTTACCTTTGTTTTGGCTTCCATTGTTAGACCAGGAGGGATTGCAGTAGCTTTTCAAAAAACCCTTCTGCTCCTATCATTGATAATTCTCTGCTTTTTTCATCATGACATTCCTCTGTCCTCTCTATTTTGGTCAAAGAAAGAGAAGTGCATGGCTGTGAAAGGGATATTAATTCTTTGCCTGGTACCGCTGTTGCCATAAGTTGCAGCACATATTTCCTATACAACTACACTAATTGAACTACAAATTTTCACACATAAGGAAAGGTCAGCTTTGTAAACTAATAAACTAAATTAGCAAATTTTGGAAAGATTTCTTATGTATCTACTTGGTGAACACAGTGAGTTCACTTATTTGCTTTTAATAAGAGATTTTTTTCCCCTCTTCATCTAGAACTCTGTTTGACCTCAAACGTCAAAAGTCAGACAGTTCCATCTTATGACCAGCACCATTTCGGATTCTGGTACAGCATTGCCCATCCTTCTGTGATCTGTGTAAGGTGTTCCGTGTGAAGTATTTTGCTCCTTTTTGCTCCCTGAGTTGCATTAAGTCAGATGTTCACTACCTAGCTGACTGCCTTGCATGTCTGAGGATAATGCCCAAGTAGAGGAGTTAGAAGGGACTGGGGTATGGCTGGGTATAGTGGCGCACACCTGTAATCCCAGCTACTTGGGAGACTAAGGCAGGAGAATCACCTGAACCCGGGAGGAGGGGGTTGCAGTGAGTGGAGATCATGTCATTGCGCTCCAGCTTGGGCAACAAGAGTGAAACTCCATCTCAAAAGAAAAAAAAAGAAAAGGGACTGGGACATGAGAGACTGCAGAGGGCCAGGGTGACTCTGGTTTGGCTCTATAGCAAAAGGTACTTGAGAGGACTTAAAAACAAAAACAAACAAACTGATGCTCCACACCCATCCCATGAGATTCTGTTTTATTTGATCTGGGGTGAGTCCTGGGCATAGATAGGCTTTAAAAACTCCTTAGATAATTTTAATATACAGCCAGAGTTGAAACACTGCTCTGGTATCTTAAGGTATAAATAAGTCTGTTTAGTTACAGCTATGTACAGATAAATTTGTAGGCCCTTGTTTAGACTCTTGAAAGAAGTATAGTAAATAGGAAAATAGACTCTAAACAAAAAGATGGTCGTTTTTGAAAAATCCTTCCTTTTTCATTTTGAAACATTCTTGTTTACATTGGCAGACTGATGATAAGGGTGTTTTTGCAACACACCTGTCTCAGGAGTACCAGCTGGCAGCTGAAACATTTAATCTGACCCGGTCTCAGGTGTGGGATCTGTCTTATGAATCCATCAACTACATCTTTGCTTCTGACAGCACCAGATCTGAACTGAGGAAGAAATGGAATCACCTGAAGCCCAGAGTGTTACATTTTTAAGCTGTAATGAGGTGAACTACTTCTGAGTATGTGTTGCAATCAAGGTCCTGCCATATCCCACTTAGTGACACAGTCCACCACTCCTTGGAAGCATAGCAGCCAAGTTCCTTGGGCTCTATCACCAGCACCTTACATGTGGCAGGTACTCAGTAAATATGTGTCTTCAACTGACTCACAAGCTCTCAGGTGCTTACTGGGTGGGATTTGACTGTTGTTGCTAATTAAATCCCCATTCCACCAGTGATTATTGTGACTCAGTAGTCCTTCCCCATTAGTGATCATAAAACTTCAGGGAAATCAAAGTTTCTCATCAGGAAATGTTTTGGAATTACTAGTATAAAGTTAGGAAAGTGGGGAAATTAGGTTACTGCCAAGACCTTTAAGCCTTCTAAACAGCTTTATATTTTATTGTGTTTACCTTCATCAGACTCCCTTCACTTGCTTTAAGTTTTTAAAAGTATTCCCCAGCCAGATGTGGTGGCTTATGCCTGTAATCCCAGCACTTTGGGAGGCCAAAGTGGGCAGATTGCTTGACCCCAGGAGTTCAGTACCAGCCTAGGCAACATGGAGAAACCCTGTCTCTACAAAAACAAACAAACAGAAATTAGCCAGGCACGGTGGTGCACACCTGTAGTCCTAGCCACCAGGGAGGCTGAGGTGGGAGGAGACCTGAGCCCAGGGATGTTCGAGGGTGCAGTGAGCTGTGATGCCACAGCACTCCAGCCTGGGTGACAGAGTAAGACCCTGTCTCGGAAAAAAAAAAAAAAAAAAAGTATTCTCCAAGATCCCAAGACCATTGACACCAGGTCACATTCTATACCAGGGATTGTGTGAATGCCTGGGGATGACCCTAGTGACAGACAAAGCTAGTTGCTGAGATCTGGTTTTGCCCTCTTTATGATTGTCCCATCAGTACTAGAAAGAGATTGAAGTCATTGCTCCAATTTTGGAAGAGGAGAGAATAACTGGCTGAGGGGTGAGAAAGACAGAAATAGCTGCAGCTTTCTTTTTTTTTTTTTTTTCCTTTTTCAGCAAAGGCTCTCACTCTGTTGCCCAGGCTGGAGTGCAGTGACTTGATCACAGATCACTGCAGCTTTCAGTTTTAAAACAGCTTCTATTACATTTTCTTTGTGGAAGCTGTATTTCCACCTTAGTACTCACTTTCTGGTGGGTCTAAAAGATACCTCTAGTAGTGACAACATTGTGTTAAGTAGAGTTCATTGGGCCTCTTGTAACCCTACCACTACAGGATGGACCACTGGTGCAGGCTTACATAAACACACATACTGTGACCATTTCAGCTGAAGACAAGGGACAAACGAAGACAGTTCTGAAAGGTAAAAAAAAAAACAAAAAAAAAACAAAAAACAAAAAACGAGCGTATTAGATACCAAGTTATGCTTGAATTGCTTTGCTCTTTAGAATGTGTGTTTTTCCCTGGTATCAGAAGAAGTTAAGGCTGATGACAACCCTAATAAAATTACTAAGGGTTTCTGATAGGTTTTCTGTGATATCGTAAAGTATTTATTTGGTCTTTGACCCTGTTTCCTGGCATACTGCTGCTAAAATCCTTAATGTCTCCAGAGTGATGCCTTTTTGTATCTGATGAGTTGACTGCTGGCTGGCAGCCCCTACTGGAAAGACCAAGGCATGATTAGAGTTGGGACTTTCAGTCCTCCCCCAAACTCTTGGGAAAAGGGCTGAAGGTTAAGTTGATCACCAGTGACCAGTGGTAATCATACCTTCATAATGAAACCTCCATAAAACTCCAAAAGAACAGATTTTGGAGCACTTCCAGGTAACTGAGCATGTGGCGGTCCCTAGAGGGTGCTATACCTGAAGAGGGTATAGAAGCTCCCTGTCCCTTCCCACATGCCTTGCTCTATCCATTTCTTCATCTCTATCCTTTGTACTGTCCTTTAGAATAAACCAGTGAACCTAAGTGTTTCCCTGAGTTCTGTGAGCTTTACTAGCAAATTAAACTCGAGGGGTCATGGGAACCCTGATTTGAAAACCACCTAGGGTTTGAACTTGGCATTGGAAGTGGGCAGCAGTCTTGTGGGACTGGGCCCTCAGTCTGTGGGATCAAATGCCATCTCTAGGGGATAGCATGGGAAATTGGAGGACACCTAGATGGTATCTGCTGCAAAATTGATTGCTTGCTTGGTGATGGGGAAAAAAGCACACATTTGGTCAGAGAAGTTTTCTGTCTTTATTGTGGTGTGAGAGCAGAGGGAAAAAGTTTGTTTTTTCCACTCAGACTTTGTTTTAAGGAACAGGGTAGAGGGAAGTTCTGTGGTTTTCGAAGTTCTTAGATATGTGTTTGTAACTTTGTGTGGCATTATATATAGCATTATATTATTTTCTACCCTCAATCTACTCATAGAGAAATTGTATAGTAAAAACATCAAAGTTTATTCATAAAATGTGGATCTATTGCAGTCACTAAAAATGATGTAGAATAGATTTTAATGACTGAAAGTGTTCATAATATATTCAATGAAAATATGGTTATAAAGTTTTATAGTCCTTTTTTTGTTTAGTATGTATACAAAGGCTATTGAAGTGTATAATTTTAATTTATTAGCCTTATGAAATTCTTTTCACACTATAAAAGTCATGCTACTCTTAAGGGAGGGAAGGGATGGCATAAGTTTTTTTGTTTGAGGTTCTAGAATTTATGTGGATTGGCTGATAAAGAGCATTTATGAAAAACTACAGCCAACATCAAATTTAACGGTGAAATATTGAATGTTTTTTAAAAAAATAAACATGTGGGCCAGGCACCATGGCTCACACTTGTAATCCTAGCACTTTGGGAGGCTGAGGCAAGAGGATCCTGGAGTTCGAGACCAGTCTGGGCAACATAGGGAAACCCCGTCTGCAAAAAAACATTTTTTAAAAAATTAGGCATGGTGGCCCATGCCTGTAGTCCCAGCTATTCAGGAGACTGAAGTGGAAGGATCACTTGAGCCTGGGAGTTCGAGGCTGCAGTGAGCTGAGATCACACCACTATATTCCAGTCTGAGCAACAGAGTGAGACCATCTCAAAAAAACAACAAAACAGACTGGAGAACATAGGGAGACCCCATCGCTACAAATAAAATAAAATAAAATAAAAAATCTTAGCCAGGCATGGTGGCACATGCCGGTATTCCTAGCTACTAAACAAGCTGAGGTAGGAGGATGGCTTGGGCCCAGGAAGTCAAGGCTGTAGTGAGCCATGATCAGATCACTGCATTCCAGTCTGGGTGACAGAGTGAGACCCTGTTTCAAAAAAAAAAAAAAAAGTGTATATACACACACATTCACAAACATGGAGAATGAAAAGCAAATAGGCAAAATATAAATAGTTGGTGAATCCAGGTATACAGGAGTTTCTTGTACTCTTGGAACTTTTTCTGTAAGTTTGAAATTATATCAAGATTAAAAGTTACAAAAACTGTATACAGTGTATGTAGATTGGAATAGACTCTCTGAAACCTTATTTTCTGGATTCCTTCAGTGATCTAGCATTTTGGAAAGTACGCCTGCCCCCTACTGTTAATACCAGGTAACCCTGTACATGCATACCATTTGCATCTTCAAAGCCCCATCCCAGACTTACCTGGTCACCACCATAGCTGCTATTTTCACTCTCTCTGTTGCTAAGACCATATATAGCTTGTGTCTTATCTGTACATAAATGAACCCAGAGGTGAAGTATTATGGGACTGACCTGGAATGCAGCTTCATTTTGCCTACACTAGTTCCACATCAAGAGCACTAAGTTCATTAGAATTTGGCCTAGCCTCTGTAAATGTTGCTCCTGCATTTATCTGTTAAAAATTCTTAAATGCCAACTTTGGGCAACCAGAAATATGTGAGGCATAAGAAATATTCAGGTGCTTGGTGACTCACAGCATAAGTTATTGGAATATAGACCTCACTGTGTACAATGATGTGAGTATCTTTGGTTTAAGTAAATATACTTAAATGTGAGTATATTTAAGAAAGATGTCAATAAAATATTTGTAAATTAAATTCTACTTAAATAATTTGAGGAACTCATTAATTATAGAGGACTTTAAAATTACTTCCCTGATTTATCTATTGGGTTATACAGGTTGAACTGAGTCAACTGGGAATCAATGTATTTTCTTTTTAATATTTTTACTTTATTCTTTGACCACAGTGAAGTTCTGCTCTCCAGAGCCTTTTTGAGCTCTGAGGTACATTGGACTTCTGTTTCTAGTGTTGAACCTGACTTCTAGTTGTTCCAAAGTTTTGTTTCTAAAAGAGCACCATGTTGGGTGTGGTAGGAAAGGAAGAATTTAAGCTCTTAAAAAATACACACACACACACCTGGTACTTTAAGCACCATGGTTTCAAAGAATTCTACATAACATTTTATATGTCAAAACTTTTGAGACATGCATGTCATTACATAGCTATTTGAGTGTATAGGAGTAAAGTCTTCGTTTTGGATTTTGAATTGAATAATGGAGAAAGAACTGATATATCTTTACAATCTTACCTCATCTTCCCGTTCTTACCTGGTCACCGTAAAAATAGTGCTATACTACGTTGACAAGACTCAAGAGTCTACATTCAGATTACAATAAATGAGAATGGCAAAAACATGTTACATTCTATGGCATTGGCCATAGAGAACAAACAATAAAAGGAAAAATGATAGTATGGGGGAAAAGAAAAGTAATGGCGCTAAGGAAACAACTGATGTGAACAGGATTGTCCAGCTTCTGCTAATACACATTTTTTGCGTCCTTTGCTGCACATGCCACCCCATCTCTCCCACAAAGGCTTTACTGATGTTAAAAAGTTAGAGGTGCAGAGATGCCCAACAGTGGGCTTGGTTTCTTTCTCAGAAAGTTTGAAGATATGTTTTGCTGCTTCCATCCTGAGGAATGGCAGGTTGGGCAGCATGTAATGGTTTGTGAGGTAGTTTGAGATGAACTGGGTTTTCACCTGGTAAGCAAGTTGGCCCTTGCCCTATTCCTTCTGCACATTCTTTTCATCTGGAGTTTGGAGTGTTGGTTCTGGGTCTTTTTTTTTTTTTTTTGAGACGGAGTCTTGCTCTGTCACCCAGGCTAGAGTGCTGTGGCATGATCTTGGCTCACTATAGACTCTGTCTCCCGGGTTCAAGTGATTCTCCTGTCTCAGCCTCCTGAGTAGCAGGGATTACAGGCGCCCGCCACCACACCCAGCTAATTTTTGTATTTTTTAGTAGAGATGGGGTTTCACCATTTTGGCCAGGCTGGTCTCAAACTCCTGACCTCATGATCCACCTGCCTCGGCCTCCCAAAGTGCTGGGATTACAGGCATAAGCCACTGCGCCCAGCTGGTTCTGGGTCTTTTAAAGTAAGACTCAGCTGAGTTGGTTACTGTGGCTCGTGCCTGTAATCCCAGCACTTTGGGGGGCTGAGGCAGGAGGATCACTTGAAGCCAGGAGTTCAAGACCAGCCTGGACAACATAGAGAGACCCCTCATCAATACAAAACTTTAAAAAATGAGCTGAGTGTGGTGGCTCATGCAAGTAGTCCCATCTATTGGGGAGGCTGGGGATCGCTTGAGCCCAGGAATTTGAAGCTGCAGTAACCTATGATGGCACCACTGCACTCCAGCCTGGGCAACAGAGTGAGATCCTGTCTCTAAAAAATAAAATAAATAAAAATTTAAAAAATAAGTCTCTGCATGCCCAGTTATCTTGGGTCCTAATTTATTGTGGATATGGCTAGAGGTACAATGGAAGGATTTGCATTCTAATTCCCCTTTTACCACAATCTGACTTACTCCTCTTTCTAGAATATAAAGATTCAGATAAGCATACTTCTAGTAAACCCACACAGGGAGCTAAAAAAAAGAAAGACTGATCTTTTCCTACCATCCACAACTTGATTGTAATTTGTGTGTGTGTGTGTGTATATATATATACATATATACACATATATACACACATATATACATATATACACATATATATACACATATATACACACACATATATACATATATACACACACACACTTGAAGAAACACCAGGCACTTTATAGACATAATTTTTATTAATATGGTATCCCTGAGAGACAGATTAGGTGTAAACATTATTTTGCTTTACAGAAAGGGAAATGGAGGCAGGTTAACTTACACACAAGACATCTGGAACCAGAATATCTGTTGACACCCCAACCAGTGCTTTTCCCACAAGACTATACATAGATACACTAAAGACTATATATATATATATATATATATTTTTTTTTTTTTTTGACATTACAGCACACTTCCTAAATCATCTCAGATCCTGAGGCACTGCTTCAGACTGGTTTCTTATAGCTTCCTGTCTGCTTAGGCAACATAACAGAAATACCATCTTCCCTTAATTCCTAATAAATATTAGATTTTTTTGTACTAAGATTCAACACTAGAATCCTAATTAATCTCTAATACAACAAGCTATTACAGAATACTGTATCTTCCTGCTGCTCTCCCCGATCTTATTCCAGCCACAGAATTCTAATTCAATGTGAAACGGCTATTTATCCCAGGCCTTGGCCATGTGGCCATGTTTATCTTTCTTCTCACCTGCTCATCAAAATATCTTCATCAGATACTACGATTTCTGACCTTTGTCTCCCATCGGAGCTAGTCCCCTTAAACTGCTTATTCTTCCAGTGTCAGTCAGCTGTTTCCTTATCAATAGTTATAGCATAGTACCTGATTTACTATAGATGATGGGTCTGGCACCTCATGGTCTGCTCCTAACACCCATGTTTCAGCTAAGGTGATTCTCTCTGCCTGCTGCACACCCCATATCATACTATTCCTCAAGTTCTCATGCTACTCCAAGCTTTATCTGGCCTTCCTTACAGTATATCCTTTGCCTTTTGTTCCATCTACACAAAACACCTTGCTCCCCCATTTTCCCATTCCTCAACCCACCCAGCACTCACTTTTGCAACTAGTTACGGAAGGTTCTTCCTATCCTAATTTAACCAGTAACCTTCCCTCCTTTAAACACTTCCTGCTTCATGAAGCCTTCCTGAATAAAGAGAAAATACCTCCTGGATTTTTGTTAAAGCAAACTAATGCATTGGAACACAACATTTATGCATAGTGTTGCTACCTAGCTTTCTAGATTTCTCTAAAACTGCTGCAACTATGCATGTGCACTTGTTTGTCCATGTCAGTGTCATCTGCTTTAGACTGTAAGGACAAGGAGAGGACCTGCTGACCTTGTGCTATACAGGGCTCATCATACTATGAATATATGGGCAGTTAATTCAATACTATTGTATCATAAAGATGAGTAATTACATTTGCATTTAAAGAACTGCTTTTAATTGTATTCAGCTGAATGTGTATGTCTAGATTGGCAGCTCCACTGGCCAAAGATAATCCATCTTCCCTGCTATTAGGGTGAAGGGCCTGTTCGCACACAGTAGTCCATTTTCCCAATACGTGGGAATGTGGCAGTGGCTTCTACTTATTGCAAGGAAGTGCCTGTGGACGGCATAACACTATACTAGGTGTGTGGAATATGGATGAGTTCCTGTTGGCAGCTTTAACTGCTTTACCTGTCACCACTTCCAGCTGCCTTGCTCTGTGGAACTTCTAGACCACAAGGGACAGATGAAATTCAGATGAGACTGGACAGAAAGAAAACCAAACTAAATCCTGTAAATGTAGTATTCTATTCCAACCCTTCTTCTAGGACTTGGAAGAAACTAAGAAATCCAGGGTTCACACTTCAGTATAAGGTTTTCATTGTTTCTGCATAAGAACACCTGTTCTTGACAAGACGATTCATAGGGCAGAATCAAAGATGGACATTAAACTCTCCTTCTTTAAGGTAAATGAAGAGGGTGCCTGACAAATGTCATTTTGAGCACAGGTTTAAGTGAGCAGGAAGAGTCATTCATGTTAGCATTTCAATTATTGTATAAACAAGAGCTGGGCTGGGCGCGGTGGCTCACGCCTGTAATCCCAGCACTTTGGGAGGCCTAGGCAGGCAGATCACAAGGTCAGTTCAAAACCAGCCTGGCCAACATGATGAAACCCCATCTCTACTGAAAATACAAACATTAGCCAGGTGTGGTGGCAGGCGGCTGTAATCCCAGCTACTCGGGAGGCTGAGGCAGAATTGTTTGAACCTAGAACGTAGAGGTTGCAGTGGGCTGAGATCACGCCACTGCACTCCAGCCTAGGTGACAGAGCAGGACTCCATCTCGAAAAAAAAAAAGCCCTGTGCAGTGGCTCATGCCTGTAATCCCAGCACTTTGGGAGGCAGAGGCAGGCGGATCACCCGAGGTCGGGAGTTTGAGACCAGCCTGACCAACATGGAGAAACCCCGTCTCTACTAAAAATACAAAATGAGCCGGGCATGGTGGCGCATGCTTGTAATTCCAGCCACTTGGGAGGCTGAGGCAGGAGAATCACTTGAACTTGGGAGGCGGAGGTTGAGGTTGCAGTGAGCTGAGATCGTGCCATTGCAATCCAGCCTGGGCAACAAGCAAAACTCCGTCTCAAAAAAAAAAAAAAACAACTAGATCCACCTAATGAGCAGTCTCACAGCTTCTTGAAATGTAATGGGTTTTTCCTGTCAAAATGCAGCTGAATGACAGAATAAGTAAAGAAGGATGCTTATCAAATTCATAGGATCTGCTACCATGTCCTCCCTGCTTATATTAAGGGAACACCATAGGCACTGAGAGGGAAAAGATGTTATCCATCAATTCAGATGCAGGCAAGGAGAGGGACTAAAATCTTCCTTTCGTTCTTTAGACTGTCCTGGGGATTCGACTCTAGATCAGGAAAAACAAGGAACGGTGGCATAAATCCTAGAGAATTTCCTAAGCTAGCTGGACACAGAACAGGAGATGGATCTCACTACTGGAAGACTTTCTAAACAATACATTTATTGAGCCTCTTTCCTTTATATATCCTTAGGGGCTTACTTAGGTGCTGACTGTGACAGAAGCTTTTCCCGTGTATGGATTTCTCGGTGCTTATTAAGGGCAGAGCTTTT